TAATGGAAATAAAATACGTTGCCCGTTGTGTAAAGTAATACTGCTTGATAGTCATATGATTGCTTATTATTGATGAACTAAGTAATTAATTAAGATGATTCTTGTTCTTAAATTATGTCCTACCACTACTTTTAATTAGCATAGAGTGAAAGTAATGTTTTCTTTGTTTGCGTTCATGTTTCTTGTAATTAACTGGTGAGTTAAAGAGGTCCTGATGTAATTAGAAATATATAATTTACTCTGAAGTTCACTATTCACCAGTACTCACTGGTTTTATATACAGTTATAATTGTGAAGTTGATTTTTCTTGATTCTACGAAAACCCTCATCATTGGAAGTGTGCAGAAATGTCTAATGGTCAATAATGTTGACTTTTGACTATATAGGTAAGATTTTCTGAGGAAAATTAATATGATTTAAACCAGCACAGCCACATGTTTCTGTACAAAGGCCTGTTTCTGCAGACTATAATTGAACACAAACATATTTTAATAAATAATTGTCAAATTACAATAGCTGCTTGTAAGCATCAAACAACACCTTTTCCTACAGTCTGCTGAGTCTATTACAGCACTGCAGCAGAAAAATCTGCCCGCCCGTATGAGAAACGTTGAGAAATATCTGTACTGCCCCAAATTATTCAAAATTCTTATTTCCAATATATATATATATATATATATATATATATATATATATATATATATATATATATATATATATATATATATATATAAGGGGCTATTGATGAAAAAAAGGGTCAAAGCTTTACAAACATGGGATTGTCAAGCAAAAACAATACACTCTTATTCAGTCAGTCTAAATGTTTAGTTTTTTGGTTCATTCGTTAACAACTAAACAACTTCCACCAAATATGCCTATCCCAACCAGCCAGAGATGATCATTATAAAACAGGCATAACTGTTGCAATGGTGTGTGATGTGTTTGCATGGAAGTCCCCCCATCATCAAATGCTAACTGAGTCAAAACATTTCAGATAAACCAGCTACCTTTGCCTGAACCATAACAAAATTACGTCAGCTCTATTCCTGCTGCACAGTTACCATAGAGTGGAGAGAAAGGATCTGCTGTACCAATTAGCGTCTAAATGATCATGGCGCACACCTATATAATGTTTAGTTTAAGTTGGAAATACTCAGGAGGCAACGGAGACGTATCTTTTAAGTGAATTTACCCTCATTGCATTTTTATGCATCTCCTCTCTCCTTCGCACAGGCCAAATGTTTTTTAAGGGCTTCTTTGGAAAAAGGAAGAACATTTTTTTTTTTGTACAGTGGCAATTAAAACTGACGAGCGGGTGCTGCTGCTGCTTGTTGCATAATTTCCCCCGGCAAACACAAAAGGGCCAATTTTCTTCTGGAGAGAAAAAAGAAGAGGAATTGTGGTTTACATTGCATCGGTTGAGGGCATGTGGGTGGCATACAGAGTTTAGATAGGAACATGCCAATTAATGTCGTGCAAAATTACGGAGCAGAGGAGGAAAGTGCTTCAAGCCAGCGGTCAGTGCACATCATTCTCCCTGCTGGTTTTTACAGCGTTGACAGCAGCAGAACAATTAGACCACAATCTACAATTAATTCCCTCTCTGCTGTGATTTGGCCATGCAAACTCTATGGACCTGGAAAACATACAGCTTTTATTGTTTGTACACTAAGTAATGAGAACTATATATACTAATGTCATAATTTCAACTCAAACAAGTGTTTGTAACATGTTTTTCTGTTGTGTTTTAACTGATGTTTTAATTTCAAGTGAATTAACCTATAACTCTAGTGCTGCTGCTGCTAGTAGAAATTATCTTTATAAGGAAACACCTAAAAGAAAATTTTAATCTACAGAGAATCAACTGCTATTAAAGTTATTGGTTGAGACTTGACAAAATATAGAGCAGCTGAATGATGAAGCCATGAAAAGTTTACTATCCATACATCCTGTTCTGCTCTTTTGCTATTTTTTATTTAAGGAAACCAGGTAGTTTCTAAAGAAAAGCCTCTTCTAATAGGCTAGATTAAGAAATACTGATCAGGTTCGCATAATGAGACAAATAGGCCTGGCACCGTGGACTTAGACTGTAAAGTAATTTGGAATGACAAACTTCCAATTTTGAATGGAAATGAATTTGTTGATTATGCATTATGACAGTGATCTTTGTAACTTTGAGCTCCGTAGATTAGGAAAAAAGCCATGATTATGCTGCAGCCCTGAAACTGTTTCATTTATAAATCAATAAACATCTGAAAACTGATACAACCTACAAGAAAGACTGCACCTTATCTGTTGATTTTGCAAACAATTGCAGTATTTCTATAAACTTTCTTCTCCTTTCACAGGTGATTTCATGCAAAACTCATTTTCTTAGGTTTAGCACTCAGCAGTGACTTCTTTAAAATAATTTCAATACTAATAATAGTCAATAAATTAAGAGAAATGAGTCACTGATAAAACCTCAAATCATCACTGACAGTGAAGTAGTTTGAGTCTTAATTTCACAAACAACAGAATTTCTAGGTCTTCTGGTGAAAAGTACAGCTACAATCCTGAGAACTCTTCCTAAAAAGTTAAGTGCATCCACTTTTAGAGTGGATTTTATAATTACACAGATAAAACATCTCAGTGTTTATTCCTAAACTCATTCATTTCATTCTAGTTCCCCCCATTGGGATCTAAAGTCCATCTTTGAAGCAATCAGCATATAGATTAAAAATGTAAACACATGGTATAGATCACCTTATTTGTGGACTATCTGCTGGGTGAAAGCTCAGCACTCTGACAATTAACAATAAAAGACCAATTTAGATGGATGGAGCTCTGAAGTGCTGTGAGCTTGATTTTGGTGTTTTTAATCTTCTCACTTGTTCTGTTCAGAAACAATGCAAAGACACAGAAAAATGACCACAATTCAGCACTAATCAACATAATGATTTTAAAGCAACTCAAAATTTAGATAGCCATTTGTTCTCCTGATATTACACTGACAGAAGAGTTTTGATATGCAAACATTGTCACAAAAAGTGACCAACAAAAGTTTCCACCATAGTGTTTGTAGCTTGTTTTCAGTCAGATTGTGGACAGCAGGTCTTTTATTGCAGCGGTTCTTCTCTTTATAGGTACTCATTACGTCCTCTATAAAACTCCTGCAAAGAAACAAAATCCTTCACCAGCAGAAAGATTGCAAACAAGATTTTATTGTGGCCACTTCAGATATCACAGCTGTATTCTTCAAATATTCTCACCTGCAAATCTACAGTAATTTGGTTAAAGTTTCAAATAGAAAATTCAGAATTTCTGGAGTTAAATTCTAATGTTGAATAATGATAATAATGTTGATATTATAATAATAATAATAATAATAATAATAATAATAATAATAATAATAATAATAATAATAATAATAATAAGCTAAAATCTCTTTATTAAGACTTTTTAAATATGTGTAAACTTTGTGTTTGGAGGACAGAAAGTACAAGACACTGAAAAAGTATCCATATTACTTCCACTCACTATTTTTTGAAACTGTAACCACAAACTTTACATAATTTGATTTGGGCCATACGCAATAATCAAAACAAAACAACATAATTGTGACTTTGAATGGAAACTATTTGGTTTTTGACTTTTTTTGCGAAAACAATCTGGAAAGTGTAGTTTGCATTAGACACTAAAAAGTGCTTATAGCAGAAAAGCCTCCCATTAGTAGTAGTGTCACTGTGTGAGTTCTGTTTTTAGGGGCTTTACATCTTAACCTGAAATTTGCTTTGATTTAATCTCTTCTCTTTGTAGCTTGAGGCATATTTGTTCTCCATTGTTCCATAAAAGCAAGGATTGTAAAGTGCAGAATGGTTGTCCTATCAACAAAATCTCCCATCTGAGTAATAAATCTCAGCAGCTCCTCCAGAGCTATTAAGTGTTTCCTGGCTGGCTTTCTGATTAATCCTGTCCTTACACACCCTGTCAGTGTAATTAGACTGGCATGTGTTTATGGTAATAGAATACGAAGGACTTTAAGAGATGTACCAAGTCCAGGATACTGTATTATAACTTAGGCCTGCTTTAAACTTTCCCATATCTTTGTCCCTGAACCGTCTGGTGTGTGTTCATCACGATGTCTGTTCTCCAAACAACTTTTTGTCTCTACATAGGACAGCTCTATCTATACTAAGATCAAATCGATTTTGGATGGACTGTTTACCAATACAGTAACTTCTAAAATAGGATGTACCAGATTTTATTTAGGATATCAGTGTGAAGGAATCCCAAAACAAATACTTGCCATGTTTTTCAGTTTTCTAGATGTAAACCATTTATCCTTTTGTTTCTTGCATCTTCTGTTGGTTGTTCACATAAACTCTACACTGGAGATTGATAACAAACTAGGGATAAAAAAGAAATATTAAATCAAAAGTGTTTATTCAAAATATATAATCCAGAATGATTATGGAATAAGGAAGCTACCAACCTGATGTGATTTTATAGATTTGTTTCAGAATTCTGCTTTCACTCACAGTGACACAAATGAGAGCTAAGCTCACTAGTCTCGGTTGCACAGAGACAATGAACCTATTCTCAGTTTCATAGATAGGTTGGAAGGAAGAATGCAGCTGAATGTTGATTCAGATTGAATCAAAGAGTGAAAGCTGCTGTAGTGCATTGATGTCAATAACGTAATACTAGTTATTTGTCAAGTTTGCCTCTTTTTAGCACATTTTGTCACACAGAACTTTTTCAAACTATTTTTTTTCGGGGAGAGAAATTATCATAATTTGTAAACATCTAATATGTTAACCACATTCGAAGTAAATGAGGCACAGCTGTGGCTGTAATTTATGGCAATGCTTTCTTCTTGTATGACATGATGGTACCTTCAAAGATATGTTTATCTGTTGGAAGTATTGGATTCAAAAAGAAATAACATGAGATTATCGAACCATCACACTTAAGAAAGAAGACAGAAAAGCCACTCAGCAAGAAAAAAATGTCATTTATTCAAAAGTAACATAAAAAATAAAGTACAATGCAAGTGGACTCAGAGACAAAGGTCTAAAAAGAGGGTAAATAAAAAAAAAATGACAGCATTACTTTTAAGATGATCAGCATCAAGAGTTACTGGGCTTTAAAAATGTGTAGAATTTGCTTACAAACATGACTGTCAATACGGATACCTGAACTATTTCATCAATTATTCATTATGATGTAACTTTGGATCGGGGAGTTAAACCAATATGCTTATGGTCAGGAATTATCACAGCCTTAAAAGAAGCCACCTGTGAATCTTCTTGTTGGTAGAAAAACAATGTTTGAAACTCACCATTACATCCTCTTCTACTTTGTGACAGCAAAATAAAGAAAATTGGTCAAAAATGTGCCATCATTCTGTTTGGTAGGAAGAAAAATAAAAATGGGGAAAAAGTAAAATGAAATAATAAGAATCAACATCTTTTAGGACCCTGAAGAACCTGTTTTTTTTTGTTTTCAAGTAAATGTTGCTCTAATGTCAAAATCTATAACATTTTTACAAATAATTTTGTACATTGAAAATGAAAAAAAAAAAATCCTGATATTTCCATTTTTTTAAGAAAATGAAATGTCAAATAAATAAGAGCAAATATTATAATTCCAAAATAAAAGTCTGTTCAAAGTATGAAACATACTAATGGAATCGCTGTGAAACAAATCAAGCTTTCGATTCTGTTTGCCTTGACAAACTTCATGTATTATGTCATTCCAACCAAAAACAGAAGTAAGAACATTTTATAAAAATAAAACTGTTTCGTCAAAAATATTTAAAAACCTTTGATAGTTTAGATTTTTTTCTTATGAGTTATTCATAATAAAAGAGCAGCCTTTTTTTTTACTTCAGGTCATGTGCTACTGAACCTTCATTCCTCCTCTCCTGTGACACCCAGTAACTCCTGCTTAAAGGCCTGCAGGCTTTCCTTCTTGGACTCTCCATAATCTTCTCCCATATTCTGATCTCCACCAGTCCACGTCCAGTTAGGGTCTTTAAACTGGGCTGCCCCTGAGCTTCTCCCTCTGTCTCCACCCCCTTGATCTCGGACAGAGCCAGTGCGGACGGAGGATGCCACCGATGAAGTCTCTCTGCTCTCCGAATCCAGTATGCATATCCCAGAACTGTATTCGCTGTTGGATTCCGCACCTAAAGCAGCAGTAAAACAAAGGGAGAGAATGGACAGATGGTGAGAGGACATCTATAAACAAACACCACATGAGGAATGAAAGACTGCCCAAAAACTCCACGCTGGGATTCAAGCATAAACACTGCAGGATGCCATTTGAGCTGCGCTTTGATTTCAGTCCAGAGTGGCTCTTCCTTACAAGTTTGTCTTTATGTTCCAGAAAGCAGGTCAATCATTTATGCCTTATACAGGAAATACCAAATCCTTCCTATGAACAGAATATTTAATGATGCATGTGCATGATGCACATTTTATATAAAAAAAAAATGATCCTAACGTTCCTTCTTCCCTCTTTTGTGCATGTTGTTTTTTTCTTTTTTAATGACAGAGCAGCTATAGCATATCTTCCTCTCACATTTCTTGGGTTGTTAACGAATTCACACTTTCAACACCTTGTGCTGTTAGATGAAGTTGAAAACCAAAAATAGGCAGTGAGTTGTTGTTAATTAGAAACTTCAGTCAGCTAAAGGTTTTAATTGGATGGGATCATATGAGCAGCACAAACCCTTCACTCCTCTGAGGTGTGTTTTTTAGTTAATTTCTCGCAGGCTAATAAGGCCAGCTTCATGTCTAATTGATTCGGTGTGCTGACCTTTCATCCCTGTGTAGTTGCGTGTGTTTCTAACACTATACTCTTTTTCAGATCAATTTCTCTACACAAAGCCAGCTAGTCCTAAGCAATAGAGCTGATGATAATAGGATGCATGGAAAGCTTTTTTTTTCAGGTTTTAAAGTGGGCAGAGAAGAACACCTCAATGGTAGCTAAGGTTAACAACCTTTAAAGAAAAAAAAAATATTGACGTATTGTACCAACTAAGAAAATGTTACAAAGGATGATATAGAAAAAAAAAAATAATGCTGACACTCCTTCTTTAACTTTCAGCTAAAATTTACCACATAAAGTAATAAAATAGTGACTAAACTCTCAGTGGAATACTCTCAATTTTCATTAATTTTTATAAGTCGGTTTGTTGTTTGTGTGAAAAGTACATAGGAATGTTAAGCTATGCTCCCTGAACCTTAGGAACATATTTAGCCTGAACCCTTTATCTCCCCAGGGCTGCTGGTTATGTTACAACCAGAATCAAGGTGTTAAGGTTTAAACCCCTGTAGATTATCTTTAGTCTGTTATGACCTGGTGCAGTAATGGAGTGCTGCACTGTTACTCTTGGGTTGTGCTCACTGTAAGCACCTTTCAAGCACAAAGATTATGATGTGAAAGATAACTATTGCTGATACACAGCAAAATGTTTCTAGACAGGAACATCTAGAGCACGGTTTAAAAATATTAAAATGTTTCAAGTTATCAAACAAGTTTTTGTACAAGACAAATTAAGGATGTTTTTCAAATATGTCTTGTTTTATTACTGGAATGAACAAGTGGAGACATGATTATAAGGCTGTCTATTAACTGTTAAAAAAAACGGCTATGGATAATTTGTGGCTTGGCTGTAACTTTTCAACCTTTGATACTTACAACACGTCAACATACAAACTTTTCCATCCAGAGCTTTTCTCATGTACAAAGTATTTCAATCTTTATTTTAAAGGGACTATTTTGTAAATTTAAACCTAAAAACAGCTGGGCATGCTTCAGTGCCGCAGTGGTTAGCGCGTACAATCCAGCCTGTGGTCCTTTGCCACATGTCTCTCCCCTTTTCCTGTCAGTCTACTTTGCAAAGAGCCACTAGTGCTGTAAAAACCTCAAGAGGAAAAAAAAGGGGGGAAAAAAGCTTAATATTTAATCATTTACGACTAAAACGTGGTTTAGGTTGGATGAGTGCGCCCCTGAGAGCACTGATGCATCCATAAGCCTGTAGCATATTTTCTTGAATTTACTTCGGGTCAGAAGTTCCCAAACTCTTTGGCAGATACAACATCATGTTATGCAACATCCATGTAAAATGATTCCAACGTACCAAACAATACAATACAGTTTAATTATATAGCACCATTCACAACTCATGTCATCTCAAGGCACTTTACAGAGACAATTCAACCAGATAATACAGTGAAAGTCAGCTGATTGCATCGACTCATTGAAAATCCCTCGCACCAAACATGCATGTAGCGACAGTGGAGAGGAAAACTACCTTTTAACAGGAAGAAACCTCCAGCAGAACCAGGCTCAGTGTGATCTGCTGAGCCCGAATGGGGTTCAAGAAGACAAAAGCAGACATACAGAAAGAAGCAGAGATAATAAAAAAAAGGCAACTGTAAACCAGCTCCACTTTTCAAACAATTGAAACGTTATATATAAGATGGATTTCGTGGATGATCAGAAGCACCTGGCATCCAGTTCAACACAGACAGCAATGGCATCTCCAGGTAAGGTGACAAAAGAAAAAAACCTGTAGTGCAAGCTACGAAAACGAGTAGAAGACTGCTGTAGTTCTGTGTTTTGTATTTAGTATCATTAGAAAAGCCTGTTAAGTCTTTAAAAAAATAATAAAAAAACAAAACAAAACAAATTACGCTAACTGATTATTAAACCACCTAAATTACTAAAGAATCCTGCATATAATGAGTGCATTTAAACTTCTGATCACAAGACTTCTCACTTTTACTCCAAGAAAAGATTACTTTAAATGTGTCAATGCCAAACAGCTAAGGAACATCAGTATGGTCAAAAAAAAAACTTAGAAAATTGCCTTGAAAACAAAATGATATATTAGTAACTCCTGACATTTGATGTTTTCAGCTGCTGGAAGAGAAATTGCACAGAAAAAGCAACAGTATTTTGTGAGAGTAAACAGTGTGTAGTGGTATTTCCATTTGAGAAAATCCACAAAAGAAGCGAATTAAAATTCAGCCAGAAGCTCAGTATGATTAATTTACAGCCATCTCATATGTATGGGGTTAATGTGTTGAAAAAGAAAATTAAATAAGAGAGAAAAAAAAAAGCACAATGGGGACAAAAGGAGCAGCAGTTTGGCTTGAGTTCCCTGAAGCAAATCACAAAATTTAATCAGTCAGTGGGGAGAAAGGAAAAAAAAACTCCCATCCAAAGTCTGTAATACTCAATATGTCTTCATTTGGAGGCAGAATTTGCATTTTATGTTTTTTTAAGTTTAGAGATTGCTTTAAGCACCGATCTCTAGATGCATTTGATTGACAGCTGATTCCAGACTAAAATAGAGAGGAGTCTTTAATACGTTTGATTGGTTGGTCGTTAAGGTTAAACTTAAAAACCAGAGTCTCAGTCAATAGAGACCAACCATTGTGTGTAATGGTTTGAAAAAAAACTGATTGGAATGATAAGGAAAAAAAAACTCCAGATGATGTTTCAACTAAACATTTGTGCTACAATGAGGTTGAACTTCTCCAGTGTATAACACAATGAACAGGCCTGCATGAAATGTGATTGGTTGTTTTTTTTATTTTACAACCCAGATACTACTTAAGACCCTCAGTAAGAAGAAAAAAATGTGTTCAACTTTTAACACTTTAAAGTCACTTAAAGCTACAGTGTGTAATAATTACAGGCATATAAAGTCAGAAATTTAATATATTATACATAACTATGTTATTTATCATCACCTATGAGCTCAGCCTTTTAACCATAATATTTGCGTTGCCTTAGAATTCGTTATTTATAATTACATAGGAGCGGGTCTCGCAGCCATGGAGGCTGACATCTTTGCGCTACGGCAAGCGCAGAGGCAACAAACTAGCGATTGCGAGATCTCCCATGACGCTCGAAAATAACTACGGCAAGTTGAGAGAGATGAACTGAGACGGTACTGAACAGTAGATGGCAGTATTATGCCTGAGAAGCGTTTAGTCTGCCTGAAACCAAAGAAGAAGAAGAAGCAGGTATACTGCGCCTCAGTAACAAGAAAGGTGAACAAGGCGGCAGGCGTGAGTGACTTTGCAAACTGTTTGGCACTGTGTGGCCAAACATCAGACGAATGGAGGATCATGCCTACTCTGTATCACAACGAAAAGCGGCGGACACCGAACCCCCGTCATCTAAGAAGCGGAAACACGACGAGAATAAACGCAAGCGTGACAAGAAACGACAAAAAACACGGATCAACATTGGCACGGCATTTACACGATGGAAGTCACTGATGGAGGAAAAAGGTTTTCAAAGTGACGCTCAAGTTGCCAGTTTTCTCTTGGACAGGTAATTAATCCTACACACACAATTGTCTAATATCACTGCAGTTTTTGGAGTACAGGATGCTCAGACCTGTCTAAAACAATAACATGCTGCGTGATGATGCTGTTACTCTCCAGTATACTTATTCAGCAACGTCCCTGACGTTTCACAGGTAATGATTCAGTAATTTTCTGTAAAATAATTTTCTGGATATATACCTCGGTTACTTCTCTCCGGCTCCTTTGGAGATCTTCAAGCCTTTCCTCCTCTGCTCTAGTCACCCCGCTGGCTCCCCTCCCTCGCCTGGCCCTGGCTGCACGGCCTCCCTGCCCTCGCCCTCGTCCTCTCCCTCTTCCTCGCGTTGTAACCCCCGTGCCACCAAAATGACTTGGACTCTGTAAACGGGGAATATATATTCTTCCAGCGAACACAATCTCGCTGTTAAACTAATGACTACAATTACTTCGTCTGTTTATATCACCATGCAAAGCAGCTCACCAAAACGTCACAACGACGTAGAAAAAATAACGGGTATATTTATTATCTTAAGTCTACATGAAATCTATACCCTACACAGACTATGAAATACTATCTGTAAAATTATCTATGTAAACAAACCTCATCACTTGAGAAGGTAGGTGATGCGGACGTCGTGGAAGACATTTTGTCCCGTAACGCTCGCCGTACTGTTGGGGGGGAGAAGCGGTGGGGGGGAGATGTTCATGTTGCTGCGGTCTGCAGTCTGACCGCTAGATGTCGCTGAAAATTACACACTGTAGCTTTAAATTGTAAACATTACCAAAAGTAATTATTATCAAAATATTAGCAATTCAATCTCAGGATTTAAAAAAAGAA